CTCTCTCTCTCTCTCTCTCTCTCTCTCTCTCTCTCTCTCTCTCTCTCTCTTTCTCTCTTTCTCATAACGGAAGAACAAAACCTACGTTTACAGAGATCCATAAATAGATGCAGCAGATTCATTTTCAACGTTAGACTGGACGAGATCATATAATTCCGTACATACAATAATTACAATGACTGAGATAGGATCAACGCAGACGATATTTTGTTTACTGCTTGCTTTTTGATATTCTCAAACGTCAGATGCCTAATGTACTGTATGAGACCTATATATGAGACCTAGAGTGCATAAATTTTTAAGATGACTAGAGCTGCACATTATATGTGCACACTGTTTCGTATTGCTGAATTAAAATCTTCATTGTAACTTTTGTTTATGGAATGTCTATGGATCGCACGCCTACTGCCTTACGTAACTTTGAATCCTTTAACGCTTTTAAAACCAAGTTATACGAATGTCTTTACGCTAGGGGTTTGTCTGACTACTTGACTCTTTATTTTTCGTACTTATATTTTTCTACCTTTTTATATTATGTTGTAACATTCTTTTTTCTCTTTATTTCTTGCATTTGTAAATTTGTGAATGGGAAACCTTAAGGGGAAACCTTCCAAGAGCGCAGAATCTCTCTCTTTCTCTCTGCCGTTCTCTCTCTCTCTCTCTCTCTCTCTCTCTCTCTCTCTTTCTCTTTCTCTCTTTCATGCGCGCGCACGCGCAAGTACTTTCCAAGGCGCATTATTTAGCAATGTGTCGCGGCGTTACGCGCGTTACCGAGATATACGTCGCTCGGCTTGAATGCGTTTTAATCGCGCGGTTAATGCCTTTCCTCCCAAATTTCCGCGGAGCGTTGCGCGCATAATTCGTCGCTGTGCGCGTCGGCACAACTCTACGCGCGCTTTGCGTTTGACACACGCATAGAATTTGCGCTTTGACGTTGCGACTGTTACGTCAGTCGCGATCGACGAACGTTGCTTTCGGTCGTCAAATCGGCCGGTAGGTAACGCCGCGGTGTCGGGAGCACGTTATAATTTCACGTCATTATATTATACGGCAATAAATCGCTCAGCGATAACAGTGGAGAGTCTCGGAAAATATCGGGAAATCCACTGGAAGAAGAGATTGTTTCAAAATATGAATGCACTTATTAACACGGAGTCATTACAGGGCGAATAATCCAATGCGCAATCTAAATGTTAATTATTGCTCGTTAAATGCACCGTGCGACTGGAATAATAGCTCGCTTTGACACTCACTCGCAAAATCATTTGTTCCTTTCGCTTTCGCCGCGCGCGCGTGTCGCGGAACAACATTATTTAGTTCGCGATGCTAAGTAGGTTATGCGCTGATGGTTAACGTTAAAAATAAAGTTCCGCATTCGTGCTGTGCTGAGAGCAAAGACACGTAGACAGTTTTGTCACGACGCGTAACGAGGTAGCGGGTGGATCATGGTGCGCGGATGGTCGGAAAAATCGTATGTCCGAGAGTTTCTCGCAGTTTCTCGGCGCGCACCTGCAGCGTCTCCTCCTCCGTGTTGTGTGTATGCGCGCGTGTTTCATACTTTCGCGCATGCACATGCATTCGCGCGCGCAGCAGCGCGTGTGTGTACCCGGAGCGGCGCGAGAACCAAGGAAGGGCGAAAAATAGTTTTCGAATAAATTGTCGCGCAGGAATTCCACGACGATGCGCCGAACAAAACGCGGTCACGCCGTTCGTAGCACATAAAGCCGGGCGGGACGAGAAAAGGAGGAGAAGAACGGGGTGAAGGAGGAGGAGGGGGGTCGGTCGGTTCCGACCGACGGGACGCCGGAGGGTACGGAGTGTCTCGTAAAAATGCAAACTTCTCTCTTCAGCGTCGAAACCGGGCGCGAGAGGAGCCGGTCGTTGCGCGATCCGATGTTGTCGCTTCGCCTGCGCCACGTCCAAAAAGTTGGACGTGGATTGTGAAAACGGAAAAGAAAGAAAAAGGCGACGGAGAGGCGCGCAGGCAGCGAGAGGGAAGTCGGACGACGGAGGTAAAGCGACCTTACGAGAGAGAAACTCGCGGGAAGTTCGCCCTGTACGCCCGCTGCAACACGGCTGGCCGGGGTTGCATCGGGGATGGCGAAGAGAGAAAGAGAGAAAGAGGGAAAGAGAGAGGGGAAAAAGAAGGAGAAAGTGAGAGAAAGGGAGCGAGTGGATCGCGCGGGGCGTTTTTCCTGATTTTTCAAGGGAAAAGCAGAACGGAAACGGAGCTGGGATAGTTACCGGGAGCATGACATCGCCTATGTACCCGGTGATTCGGAAATATCAATGCTTTCGGAGATGCCATTGTTTCCAGCTATGCTCTCTCTCTCTCTCTCTCTCTCTCTCTCTCTCTCTCTCTCTCTCTCTCTTTCTTTGATTGCGCTCCTCTATTTTCTCGTGAATCAAAGCGACGCGTCAGATATTGTTCGGTTTTCCGTATCGTCGAATTTTTGTTAATTTTTTTTTCTAATCCGCGTGCCAAGAAAAACACGACCGGAATAAGAATAAAAAGTTGAATTTGCTGGATCTGGAAATGTATTCCACGGTATTCCAGCAAAGTGGTCTCGTAGGGTTTACGCTCGGGAGAGAAAAAGAGCGAGATAAAAGTATTTTATCTCCTCCTGTTGCTATCCAAAGCGAAAGAGCAAGCCGAAGGACGTATCACCTTGCTGGCGGTGGTATGTGGGGGTGATGATTGCGTGGAGGACGCAAAATTGCTAGCCACGGGCTAGCCAGAGGCAGCAATAATCTTGGAAAGCAATTAGCAGTCGAAGGGCCGGCCGACGAAAACATGAGAAATCTGTTTCCCAGAGTTGATTACTTTCTTACGGCTGTGCCCGGTGTGTGTATCGCTCGGAGTGGTTTACCGCGTACCCCCGGTTTGTTAACCGACGAGTGCAATCGACGAGAGGCGGAACGATTCGTGGCAATCGTTTTTGCAGTTAACTGTCGCGCGTCTACCGAGCAGCGAGGAACAATTTGCACGGCGATATTTCTTGTCGGAAGGCGAAACAGTTTTTCGTTGACGGACACGTCGAGAAGGAAGGAAGGAGAGGAGGCGAGATTAACGCAAAGGAGACACGTGGAGATGGATGATGAGAACTTTGCCGCGTTCGGTGGGAGCCTCGGTTAACATTGCGGGCGGGACAACTGTTAAATTGCCGTTTGGATTCCCATAATTCCGCTTACTAACGTTCGACAAGCGCTATTTAGAACGTTGCACGAAGTTGCCGGTGCAACTAAATGTTAGCGACGCGAAGGTCGTATCGAGACGTGATCGATAGCCACGCTTTATCGACGTATATCTCATTATATCGTGTTCCTAGATATGTACAGATAGACAGAGATAGAGATAGAGATAGATATATAGGGGAAGGGGAAGAACGAGAGGGTCACGATGAGCAGGAGGAGGAGAAGCAGGAGGAGGAGGGCAGGGAAACAGAAGGCGAGAGAAACTACATAAATCGCTCGGAGCCAAACGGAGACGCGCCCTCGAAGGCACTTATTGTTAACGCGCTCGAAGTATTCATAGTTCTCTGCCCCTCCTCTCCTTCCCCGCATCGAGTTATTCCGCCTTAGTGGCGTAATGAAGAGGAAGCGGCGTACTAACCTGAGGTGGATAGTGATCCGGCAGGGCGTGCAGGGCTTCCCTGTACGCCGACAGGGCTCTTTGTAATCTACCCTGATCGGCATACAGCGCGCCTAATTGAAGGAGGGCCTGCACCCTGGCCGCTTCGTGAGCCCTTTTGTCCTTCAGACCGGTGCCGTCCAAGGATGCGCCAGCGCGCAAAACCGCAGCCGCTTCGGTGCCGCGTCCGACTGAAATCAGCGCGGCTCCCAGATTCACGTAAGCCTCTGCAAAGACAAATTGATAAGGATCGTGAGCATGGCAGTAGATTCAGAAAGAGAGATCACCGATACTCGTACGGTGAATTTGTCGAAATTTTGGTTTTACATTACAAATCCCGTCGAACTTATGCGGGTTATTATCTTACTCTATTGTTAGGAATAATTAGGGTTATTTTGTGTGGGATAATGCTTATTCTCCATGTCGAATTGTCCCTTTAAAAAGGGGAATTTTTAAAATTGCTTAATATTTTATTATCACGATAGTCTACTTGGATTTAACATATTCCAATTGGGTAATCATCTCTAACATGTTGCTAAAAAATAGCTAACAAACATAAGACATGTTTCTTTAGATTATTTTAAAAAAACTTGTCTCATCGCATTGCATTCACTAGTTTAACAATTTTTTTCAATATTAATTGAAAAAAATTGTTCCATATTAATGTATAATTGTCAATAATTATATTTAATTAGATCGTTTATAAAATGATAGACAACCGTTTAGTTTGACACGTTCTACTTGCATGCCTTGTGATCAAGAACAGTCGTATTATTAATACTCAGACATCCTAAGTAACTCCAAATTCTATATATTACTTTTTTTGTATAATTTTGCGAGAAAAATGAACATTCGAAATTTATTAATGGAATAATTCTGAAACATATCAAAATTAAAGTCCCCCCTTTCCGTTTCTTTGAAGTGGCACTTTAAAACATAAAACTGATTCTTTGCATTATGAATTTAGCTTAAGGTTTCGCATTAGTTTTCAATGTAGATAAATTTTTACTTTAACGCAAGTACAAAAGTAAGGAGGCCAGTGCCTCTCGAATGCTTCATCAAGGCATTTAGTTAAATAAAATGCCTATCTTTGTTTAATTTGAAGGAATAACAAAGATAAACACATGAACTGTTAGCTTACCAAGAAGTTGGAAACATCAGAAAAATGAAAAGAAGAGGAATTATGTTTGTGAGAATAAAAACATATTGTTTTTCTCTTTCACCTCTTTATTTATTCAATTTTCTTTATTTGATTATTTAATATTTGCTTATTTCACATGTTGTATTTGTAGCTGAACAAGTTGTATAATAAATATATTGTTGATTAAACTCAAGAATAATAATTAAATATAGATGTGAAATATAATGTGAGATATAATCGAATATTAAATAATTTTGAAATGAAAGTTCTTCTCTATTAAAACTCAATATGAAGAAAACAACAATAACTGTTTGTAAACATCAAAGTAGGGCAATAGCTTGTACAATATACTTCAAGATTCTTCATTGATCCTTCAAGTTTGATGGAATTTGCAAGATTAACCCTTTAAGTCACGAATTTTTCTGCACAACCTCTTTCTTTGTTCAATCGATATCTGGGAGTTTTCTTGGATCTAATTACAAATTTGAAGTCAGTTTTTGAAAATTCAAGATGGCGGATTCAAAATGGCCGACGATAATTTTAAAATCTCCTCAATTTCTGTGAAAATCGGTATCCAAGGGTTTTTGGCGTCGATGATCACGAATTCGAAATCACTTTTTTTAAACTCAAGCTATTCACAAATTCAATTTCACTTATTTACAGAAAAAATATAACTTATTCCAATTGTTGGTATTTTAGCTCATATGAGTTCGCTATCTTGAATTTTGGAAGTTTTTAGGTTGTATCATCATCTACGGCTCAAAAGTCATCAAACAAACCATTTTGTCCATAGGTTAATATTGCAATATTTTTGGCAAATAAATTCCTTTAAAAAAAATATCATTTTTTAAAATTAATTTGTTTATGAATAATTAAATTTGCAAAATTTAATGTTCTTTACAGATGATTCTGTTAGAACATCTAAGCTTCATAATAAATCCACATTTACCGTCTTGAAGTTTTTACAAATTAGTTTAAATTCGTAAAAACTGCTCTAAAGGTGTATCATATATGGTACACTATGACTTAAAGAGTTAATGTGGAACTAAACTTTCGAATCTGGTAATCCTAATGTCACATAGAACGCATCGTGTATTTCTTCGTCGTTTGAATTTGCAATCTCTCGCGCGTATTTTTTTTACACCGTATTTTTGAATGTAAGCTTATTGTAAGAATAAAAATTTTGTTTAATTCTGGTAGTGTTCAAATCCTTTTAATATTTCTTTCACAGAATTTAAATATATTTAAATAAACTCTCCTCTTTTAGTAAATACGATATAAAATAAAATACAATACAATAGAATAATACAATAGAAGATTGGAATAAAGTACAGAGAATATAGAGAAAAATAGAAAATAGAATAAAAAATATCAAAGTTGACGGAATAGACAAAGGAATGAGACTAGTGTTTGGTTGGATTATGGAGTTTGATTTTATGAACCGAAAAAAAATCGACGAGAGTCGAGTCTCGCCCTGGCGAAATTTTAAATGTGGCATTTCGTTTTCTCGACACCTTCATTTCTGAGTTTAATTAAAAAAGTCCTTTCGAGGGGACTAACTTTTCTGGGTCTCGGATTGGGATAGGAGCTTTGTCGCTCGAGTAAGATTGCCATGATCTCTGGAAAGCCACAAGGACGATAAGGGAGATTACGTAGTAGGAAAACTTTCAACCTGAAATAAGTGAGGACCAAGTTTTAAACAGATTTTTTCTTCAAATTTAGACATTTTTACCGCAGTTTTCTCAAAGTATTAAGTGATAAGAGCCATGTGCGGTCATGTAAAACTGTATTCCTTATTAATCTAAAATTGTTCGAGAGATAACTTCATGCCCATGACGAAGGGTTTCCTCTCGGGAAATTCTCCACTCGGAGAGGTCGATCATTACCCAATTTTATCATGGACACCCCCAGACGCGGAAACGTATGGAGGAAATGCGGTGCAAAAGGAGGAAACATGTGTGGTTCAAGGGGAGGGCGAGGGAGAGGGCCGAGCAGAAAGAAAGAGAAGAAGACGCGGACGGGAGCTTGCGCGAGGAAGCAGTAAGTAATCCGCGTCGCATTTTATTTCGAGACTTCGGCGATCGGTAAAGGAGAGGAAAAGCGGCAATGAAAAATGGCGAGCCGTAAAAGCCGGGCGTATAGGTTCGCATTTAGTCCGCGTGAAAACTTATTACGCGGTACGCTCGGATACCACCTGTTACCATTTATCTCCCGAACACGCTCGCGCGTCCTTACTTCTTCCCTCGCCGCGAGATAAATTCCGACGGATCGCGAGCGCGGCCGCATCGATTTTAACGGGCCATCAGTATGCGTCGCGCCGGAAATTATCACGCTGGCGGTCCGAGAGTGGGCGCGGCGTTCATTCTCTCCTCTCCTCGGGCGGCTTTAATTAACAAAAAACTACTGAGGCCGACCGAGGCGGAAGCCGGGACCACGTCGGAACGGGGCAATTTCCCGCCGCGTGAGCCTCGCGCTTCTCGGGGACGGTATCAGGGCGATAGTTGCGCCTCGCGCGCATTATTTTGAATAAGGGACGAGCAGGCTGCGCCGGAGTCAGGCAATCCATTTTCCTCCGCCGCGCTGCCATTGCCGCCGCCGCCACCGCCGTCGCTCCCCGGGGATACTCTATGGAATTAGAGTGCCGACCGAGCTTCCTGTATCCCCGGATCAGGATGAATGTGTACGCGACGACGAACCCCCGCAGGACGACGCGCGCACGCGCGTCGATGTCGCGCTGTTTAACCCTCGCGTTGCCGCGAGCTTTCCATTGTGTTTCAGCAGCGATGCGTTTCGCTTGGGTATCACGTGTGTTGTGTGCGCGCGCGTGTGTGTGTCTATGTTTTGCATGGACGTTGTTTTTTCCCCCTTTTTAGCGAAGCGACGGTCGCAGCGCGACGGCGAATCCGTTCTTTCAAATGCATCGCGTGTTTTTGTAATTAATACAAAAAAAGTCATGCATGAAGTTGCGAAAACATCGGAGGGAAACATTTGCTGAAAATGAAATTATTTTGGATAAATGAAATTCGCTCGGGCAGACGTACGGTTGATTGAACAAACGGAGTAATTGATGTAGTAAACATTCGGTCGATTCTGCGATTACGATTATTACTACAAATTCGGCGACAGTATTTTTGCATCGGTATGCATTTTATTCCGTCGATTCCACCGTACGAATTCAGGTCGACCGTCGATTTTAACGTGCCCGCTCGGTCCTTTTTCTCGGCATAATAATCTGCATATCACGCATGTATTTTGCCTGATATTTTGCGAAGTCTCGCCTTATACCATTAAAAGCGGCAAGACAAGTCCCGAACGAGTAGCTATGGGAACTCATGTTTCTATTCAGGAGCGCGCCACCCTCACTACACGATATTATGTGCGCAGGATAACATATCAATCCGCGCGATCGGTTTGCAGACTGATTAACTGATGCGCCTCGGTTCGAGAGTCACGGTAACATTCGAACGTTTGGGAAGCTGGGACAATCGACTCGCACGAGATAATTGCGTCGTAAAAAGCCCAAAGACCGTACTCCTCCCCTCGTGAAACGACGGTGGTCATAAAGCGGACTTACTCTCCATCTCGAGCGTCGGATTCGCCGATGTCCCCTCTCTGCCTCTCTTTTTCTCTTTCTTTCTCGTCCCCTCCCCTTGCTCACTTTGGTCCTTTCTTCTGAAGGGATATCGTAAAAAGAAGGAAAGACAGAAAAAAAAGGCGAAATAGTGCGCGGCCGCGGCGGCCTGCGTTTGGCAGTGAATTATACTGTCCGCCTTTTGCGGCCTGCTCTTTCCACATAACCGTGCCGAGTCGAAGAAGAGAGTCAGGTGGCCCGTCGACACACCGGGAAATGTGAGGGTGAGTCGTAGGTCTAGAGGGACGCTAGAGTACGGGGGTAGCGGAAAGTAGCGGGGCGGGGGAGGAAAGGTGGGTGACTCTCTCGTGGGGTCTACGGCGCAGGCGGAAGAAGGATGGGCGGACGGAAACTGCTGTTTCATCTCCGACTCCGCCAACTTGGCAAGACCGCCGCTCTGTTTGCTTCCTAATTACGAAAGAGAGAGAATAAGACGCAACGAGAAACGAAGAGGG